GAGAGAGAGAGAGAGAGAGAGAGAGAGAGAGAGAGAGAGAGAGAGAGAGAGAGAGACTCTTCTGAGTCTTCTGAGGACTTTTTAGGGGAACTCAGTCAAAGTCTGTTCTTGTATGTGAACACCATTCTAATGGACTTCCTCACCCATAGGCAGAAACACAAGTGTCTGCTAACCTTCATCACAGACCTGCTCTGGGAATGAAGTATGGTGAAAAAGTATTGTGAGTTATAAACATAAAGGAATTAACAACTGCCATTAAATAAGTACATTTTGTTCAAGGATCTTTGAACTACCAAAGGAAAGGAAAACCAAAACCAAAAACAGTACAAAAGAACTAAACAAGCAAACAACAACAACAAAACAACAGTCATTAATGTTGACTTATGCCTACTGGGTTACAAATGCATCTTTTCCTCCGAATCTCTTCTAAGAGAATTCCCACAGTAGGTTACTGGAGTTCCTATTGTCATTGTCCTTTGACATTTTCTGTCCCTCCACTATGCACCCTGGTAACTTCTGATGCAGCTATGGTCATCAAGGGTCTGTCCTAAAATGTTCCAATCTCCAGTTACTCCTAATTTACCATGTCAGAGAGATGAGCACCTATTGTAAATTGAATTTTTCACAATTTAAAAACTAGACATAATTAAATATATCAAAAAGCTGAAGTGGATGAATATTGATGTCCTTTTTAGTTTTAAAATTCAATAACTCTTATATGGTGATTATTAGGATACCAGGGAATAGAGATGGGGGCTGTAGTATGGGTTAAAGAGAGTTAATGATCTTTGAATTGGTTATCAGTATTACACTCTAGATAGTATTCCTCTATTAATACGGTAAAGTGTATCTTTACAATAGGCAGGGAACTAAGACACAAAATAATCATTTTAGGAGAAATAGGACCATCACTGCTTATTTTCCTAAAACTACAGAACCTTTCTAATAATTTTTCTGTTTACTTTCTGTTTAATATAGAACAAAGTCCACCAAACTTAAAATTAGAAGCTCTCTTTTTAATCTAGTTTTCACATCATCAACCTTTTAATGCTGGGGAACTATTCATCTTTCAGAATCAAATAGTGATTTCCAGAGCAGATACATTATTTCTATTATATAATCCAAATTCTGAATTCTAATTTACCCAAGTTGTTATTGTTGTTGTTTTTAGATTCTAGAGGTGGTTCATTTGCTTGTTATGAGGAAATAAATTCCAGAATTGATAGATTTGGAAACTGTGGCGCGGATGTTTGTCATTTTCCGTATGTATTTACAAAATTACAATTATGCTTGGAATGTAGGTGATAGGTTTCTAAAATTATAGAAACTTTTCTGTACAAAACACAATGGCATATTTTGCCTGGGTTTCTTTATCTGAGCTAAACAATATTATTTACTGCCTATAATAACATGTGTTTAGAACCTATAATATAAAAGTAATCATAAAAAACCTCTATTATTGCAAGGGGATAGATATTATTAGGCAGTTTACATATATATAATATATTTATGACATAAATTATATAGTTATACATCTCAAATGTGTGTATTAAAAATTACTCATCCCATTTTTTTGTTTGAAAAATTGAAATGATCACTTGTTCAAATTTAAGAAGTTAGTGTAAGGCAGAAAAGGGCTGTCAGACTGTAACAATCATTTTTCTCTTGCTAAATTGCCTCATAAAACAAAAAGAGCCATATTGTAAGTCATTGGTAATTTTTTAGAATATTATTTAGAAAAAAATGCTGAAGACCTAGGATTACATTAATAAAACATTCTTCTTAACTTAGCTATATGCTAAGTTAATTAAAAGTAAGCTATAATTTCACATTTGGTAGGGAACCAAGACAGAAAGTCAACAATTTAGAAGAAATAGGGAAGGCCACAGCTACTTATTTTCTAACAACAGAGAACATATGTTATTAACTTATTTTTCTGAGTTACCTATGTTTTTTCAATAATGATATTTTTTCCCTTATTTTTCTAGTCATATGCTATGTGGAAAATTAGTTTGTACATGGCCACATAAGGAGATAATTTCAAGAGCAAATTTTTCTGTAATTTACTCACATGTACGAGATCAAATGTGTGTATCTACATATCCTGCTGGTCGGAAACCAGCTCATGATACGTTGACCACTTACAAAACTCCTGAAGACAGAGATGAAACCTTTGTAGAAGATGGCACCATGTGTGGTCCTGACATGGTAATTAGAACTACAAAAATTCAAGTTATTTTAAAATAGTTATTCTTATGGTTACACTCATTTTGATAGTATACTAACCATACATATTTCCCCAATTATTTTTATTGTGGTAGATTACACATAATAAAGACTCCCACTTTAAACATTTTGAAGTATATAATTTAGTGGTATTAAATACCATTACTACCATGTGTTTCCATGACCCCTTTTCTCTTGTAAAACTTTACTAGTTGAACAGAACAATAGCTCTCCCATTCACTCCTTCCTCCAGGTCCATTCTGAGTTCTTTCTTTATGAGTGTGACTCTACAGGTACCTCACATGGAGGGAATCCTTCAGTATTTTTCTTTCTGATTTGTTGCATTTAGCATAAAGTTCTGTGATCTATACTGAACCATAAGTCAGTATTTCCTTTCATTCTTTTTAAGGCTGAATATTATTCTATTGTAAGTATATGTCACTTTTTCTTTATCCATTCATCAGCCAATGGATATTTGGAGGCTCACCCAGTTTAGCCATTGTAAATAATGTCACTATGAATGCAAGGATAAAAATATCTCTTTTAAGACAAGACCCCAATTTCAATTAGTTTTAGTATATACCCAGAAATGGGATTACTGAATATAGTTAAAAATATATATATATATATATATATATATATATATATATATGAACTACCATAATGTTTTCCATAATG